CCGCCGACAAACCGCAAATTAGAATCGAGCGACGTGAAACACCATCCACGAACGCAAATCATGTATCCAAGTCCAATTCGAGGGTTTAAAGTACGAAAGATCTTCATGATAACAAATAACCCAAAAGATTTAATCGAAATTTTCTTCCCTTTAACTGTTAACCGAATTAATTTTTTTTAATTTTTTAATCAAACCAAAATATTCAATATTCAATATTCAATACTTTCGGTTAATTTGATTAAAATCAAAGTTTAAACACCCCTAATACTATGTAATATATAAATATAATATATATATTTAATATTTTCGGTTAATTCATTTAATTTGGTTAATTCATTTAATTTGATTAAAAAACCCTCCGACCATGATGAAGATTACTCCATTGTTAACCCTCTCAAAAGGACCCTCCCATCGGTTTACTATGCCGACGACGAAACTATATAGCTTTCAACGAGCAAGAGATTCTGGAATGAGCTTACAGAATGTCGCTGTGGGTCAATGGGAGATGAGGTTTTTCATCCTCATCCTCAATATCATCTTCCAGTGCTCAACTGTGCCGAAGACAAACCTACAGTGCGTTGGACGAAATCAACAACATACCAGGGTCATGGCTTGTATTGAGTAGATAATGCAATGGTTTTTTAGTATTAATAAATTATTTGGACACTATTTTCCGCCCTCTGTGGTTCGAGTAGTATCTTCTGAACTATAATATAAGGGTGGATTTTAACGAGGCCTCTTTTTTCTCAAAAAGAACCTCACTTTAATTTATCTGCATTCCATATATATTCTGAAAATCTTTAGTCATTTTATTGTAATTATAACATTTTCTAGTAATATTTTAATAACCAAGCTGATTAGTTTAACCATTTTCTAGTAAATTCTGCGGTGGACAGCTCTAATTCCTGCTACCTATATTATAATCTTTTTTTTCTTCTGGTATTATAGTTCATGTTGATGTCATATTGTGTTCAAAGTTAAAGGATCTGATTTTTAATAAAGAAGACACTCAACCAGCTTTCATTTCATCTCAAACCTGAACCAGAATGGAACTCAAGTTGCCACTTGTTTACAGTTTTCGTACTAGCAAAACAACTGCAGTCCAGTACAAAATTGCAATGAAAGAAATTGTCATACATGGATTACTGCTAATAGCAAAAGCAATGCTTTTCACCATTATGGTGATTCTTTCAGCAGCTTAAAACTGGGGATGTACTTAGGATCATCCCACTGCATATGCTGTTCCAATGGCTCTGGACTAGCTGCAAAAGAGTCGAATTTCCTTAACAAAATATGTTTTGGAGGAGATGGCTCTTCGATCAGCATCGCAGTCATCTTGTTCGAATCGGCATACCTTGGGGGACTCATAGGCTGTAACATAAGTAAAACCTGTATTCTTAAGACGATGCATATGCTAAAGCTACGAGACAGCTAAAATAATTTGAATGTTTTACCTCCAATATGTTTGACAATGAATATTCCTTTGTAGATGCTGAATGTTTGGAGAAATCTGAACAAAAAACATGCATACAAAGGTGTGAGTATTCAGTCATCAATTACTAACGCAAAATAAACATATGAATGCCTAGCAAATTTATTTACCATCTAATCCAAGAATCCGCAAAAATTCATTAGTGCTTATAGCTCTTTTCTGTGTTTTGATGCAATCTTCATGATTGTGCAGACACCCTTCCTCTGCAATATCTTCGAGTTGACATCGATCCTCTTCCGGATTACCCAACTTTGCGTTTTGGTTCTTCTTTGATGTTCCTTGTGAGTACGGCTTACCTGAGTTGGAAATGTCAGAGAGAGCTTTCCTGCCAGTTGCTTGCACTTTCTCAGCTTGATAGACACTCTTTGTTTTGCTTGAATCATGTGTGGGATTAAAGATACCAAACTCTTTCTCGATGAATGGAATGCTTTTGGCATTCTCCTTCTTTGATGACTGGTTTGGGGTTGGTTTCACTGAATTGGATAGATCACCAAGTGGTTTTCTTCCACCAATACCAGCTTTCCTTTGTGCTTTAGAGACATTGGTCTTGCCTGATAGGAAGCATTTTCCATTATCAAACTCAACTTGAGAAACAAAATTAACAAAACCAACAGCAGATCAGAAAGTGTTGAGAATAGTACCATTGAACCGAGCATTTAAATTCTGATTTTGAATCAAACCAACAGTACGTGTTGCCATTTTGGAAATTTGCTGATACAATCCGCCAAACCAACAGTACCTGTGAGGTTCCAATACATAGGGAATCATTCATATACGTGGGAAAATCAAATCAAACAAGCAATATTGGAGAAAGCATGCTAAATCCTGCAGAAAAATCTGAAGTATCTTTGAAAGGCTCTTTTTACATTAAAGCTTCATCTGAAGCACATGAATCAAGAGTATTACTTAGTTCAAAATGAAAAATGAAATTAAAATCCAAACTCAATTTGCAAAACCCAAAAATCTTTCGGTATCTAAGACAAATGTGGTGAACAGGATTGGAGAAAAACCGAACTAACATGATAATCACAAAGGAAAAGACAAACAAAGAAGCTAGAATAATCATGTTCATACAATTTAAAATGATCCATTTAGTCCTTTCTGTTCTAATGATGATACAGTCGAGGATTTCTTTAAGTTAGTAATTATATTTCCTCTCCGTGTTTTTCATTCACTAAAAGCCCCAAGATCATCAAATCAGCCCCACAAAAGTAAACCCAGAAAGGGAGAAAAGAAACATAGGATACAACAAACTTACAGATCATTCTTGGAAATTTTTTTATTTCCTTTTTTCCATTCGTTTCTCAACAACCACACAGATATTCCTGTTTTCATGTTTTTTCCATGACAAATACTTTAAATTGCCTTTGCATTCTCAGACTAAGTTTGGAAAACATAAAAAGATATAATACTTTGATAAATTTTCTTTCTGATAATACAGATCTTACTTATCTGTTTTCTTCCATTAAAACAAACGAAACATTTCATGAAAAATAACTTCATCAAGAAATTAAACACAAACAAAAACCCGTAAAAAGGGTAAAGATAAGAAACTCACAATGGGTTTTTGCCGAGTCGATGCTTCTTTCTTTTGAATTACTGATTCAGGCGCTTTGCTTTGCCTTTTGGATTTGTTTGTAATCTTTGAAATATATTTCGAAAGAGAGGAATTCCATATCTGCTTATTAGAAGAGTATTTGCAACGGTAACTTTTCCGCTTTTACAAAAATACCCCTCGGTGGGCTTACAATTAAATAAGCTTCGGGTTTCTCAATTGGACCAAATCGCTTTTGCAGAAAAATAAAGATACTTATACCGTTGTTTCGGCTTTTGCCATAGTGATAAATTTAATCCATAATGTTTATTATTTATTTAATTTGACCCTTATTTTTTATCTATTGTGACCTCAGTGGTAAAGAAATTATTGTTATTTATTGAGATATTGGGTTCGAGCACTAAGAATGCTAGGGTTGTGAGTGTTTAATGTCAAATGGTTGAGAGTTATCTTTGAATAGATAATATATTATATTTCCTCTCAGATTAATAAAAAAAAAATCCCCACCTAAACATGGGTGTAAATATATAGTTCTAAGCATGCTCTTCTCCTGTATGGGTTTATGTAGAGTACAATGATAGTGGCCAAAAATATTTCATATCTTATTCTTTGAAGTATCTAAAATTTTATATTCTCTAACCAATTATGATTTTTATGTGATCATCGATATCTCACATGATCTACTAACTTGACAATTAAGTCTTCATCTTGTTTATAGATAATCGTTATGACTTTACATTTGACACTGATATTAAGAATCAATATAAAATCATTTTGTTAAGATTGAGAGAAAGATTTGGATTCTCCCTTTTTATTCATTTCTCTTATATTCCCTTGCGAACAAAAAACTTTAACACCAATTAATTATCATCTGACTATCGATTGTGATTCTCCATTTCAACTAGAAGAGATGAATCGCTTAAAACCATCGTGACTCATTTGTTCTTATTCAAAGAAGCATCACTCATAACCAACTTTTTTGGCATTTCCCGGGATTCATGTTGCAAGTAGTTAACGAATATATCAAAAGCGTTCACCTAGTATTGTTCTCCACCACCAACCCGTTTGGGAATCTTATTCTTTCGTAACTATAATTAGTGACGAATGTATGTGTTTTTCTAGGATAGATCTACTTTAAATATGAATTTCTTTAGGTTAGTTATTTATTTTACTGATAGTGTCCGAAAAAGTTATATTATTAATACATACATATTCATCCTAAAAATATTTATTAGTATAAACACGAAGGCATTGCACCTCCTTGAGCATTTATTTTCAAACTAAGGAATACAATAAGAAATAATCAGAATATTTTTATATGTTGATAATATATATACACTTTATAAATGTAAATGTAACTATTTGAATTTAAAATCTCTTAAGAAAATAGTATTTTTTTAATACAAAATTTTAAGTTAAAATTTATTATTTAAATTTCATTATTATATGATTCAAAAAGTTTATAATGCAACTAGCTTAGTCAGAGAACTCTCATGATATAATAAAATTTAGGGTAAAGTATAGCAATGATCACTGAACTTTTCTAAATCTTTCATTTAGGTCCCCAACTTTTAAAAATTGCAATACAATCCCCCAATATTTAGTCCGTTTATAATATGATCCCTCAACATTTAGTCCGTTTGCAATATGGTCCCCGACGTAACTGTTGGGGAACCATATTGCAAACGGACTAAATGTTGGGGACTATATTGTAAGTTTTAAAGTTGGGGGACCTAAATGAAAGCTTTAGAAAAGTTCAATGACCATTACTATACTTTACCCAAATAATAATTATATATGCCAAAATTAACAATTTCGGTTAAGTTGAAGAGGATTAAAGAAGAGTTATAGTTACAATTACAACCACTTTTCGAATATTAAAATGGCAAAATATCAGGATAAAATCATACATCCTTTGCCACGTTGGAGAAGGGAAAAAAACACAATGTCCTAACTATAACATAGATTGATCTTCGTTCCCCTTATAGAATGCTCCCGAGATTAGTGATGAAGAGCAGTAGAAGTAAAGCTGCCCACCATCTTCCTACCAATGGGTTTAAACCATTTGCTTTGTTCTTGCAAACCAGCTTGTGATCATGGTAACTGTATACTGCTTGATTCCTGAAATCATCAACAACAAAGCCTTGAATTCACAATTGATCAATCAAAAGGAGATTACACACTACAATATTCAACCACGTAAGTTTATCTCAATATAACTTCGAAAAAGGGTTGTTGAACGGAATAATGATTTCATTGACTTCATTCTCCAAATTATAGGTAAGTTTCGATATAAATTCCGGGAAAAATAACGAACCGAGTTGAGCAGAAGGTGATGACATAATCTGCTCCAGAACAGGTGAAAATACTGGTGGGATCATCATATGCATAACTATAAGAAGTAGGGCATGCAGACTTGAACGTCTTGGAATAATACATAGGTTGACAAGTGGAAGGGTTTCCATGGGTTCCTCTGCAACAATATTCATCTGTGTTGAAGACATCGCATGCGCTTCGGCAAGCGATAACCTTCCCGTTGGCCTTGACAGCGAGCTCAGAAGGGCAATTTCGCCTCAGGTCGGAGTTGCATTCAACAGTGGAGCAATTTCCCTTACCGTTTAACGGTGTGACAGATACGGGCACATTAAATCCATCGACGAGACTGACATCGTAAAAATCAAGAGTAGCGAGCGTAAACTCAGCGAGTGATGCCGGGGTTTTACCGGCAGCTCCGCACTTAAGCGTTTCGCCACAGTCCCTTGTCTGGCATGGACCATTTCCATTGCTGTCGAACTTGCAACTGCTTCGATCCCATATGCTGGAGCGTAAACTCCAGCCAGCCGGGGCGTTGAAGACAACAGATTGGTGTGGTTTCAATTCAATACCTCCACCATTAAAGCTTTCACCGGGGATAATCCCAGGCCAGATAGTTTCCTTGCAGTTGTTTATTATGTTGAAGGTTCTTGCACATTCATAGAGTTGTATCCCTGCCGAAAAGCACTATTGAAATCCGAAAGAACACTTAAATGTAGCCATGTATCATGTAAATAACAGGGGAGAAATTATGAATTACCTGATGAAAGCAACAGCAGTGTGAATAGAAGAGGTGAAAGCAGATCCATTGGTTAGAAAATTGAGATTACAGTGAGTAGGGAGGAAAGGTAATTCCATGATAAGAGGCTACACGATTATTTTCCTAATCCTTTCCCGCAAGTTTATACAGCTTCCAATCCTTATTGCCACGATATCCGCATCTACGGTCTAGGCTACTCATCATTACATTTTCCATCATTATAAAAATAAGGGTAAAGTATAGTAATGGTCACTGAACTTTTCTAAATCTTTCATTTAGGTCCCTAAACTTTTAAAACTTGCAATATAGTCTCCCAGCATTTAGTCCGTTTTCAATATGGTCCCCGACGTAACTGTTGGGGGACCATATTGCAAACGGACTAAATGTTGGGGGACTGTATTACAAATTTCAAAAGTTGGGTGACCTAAATGAAAGCTTTAGAAAAGTTTAGTGACCATTACTATACTTTACCCTAAAATTTAACTAAATTAAAGTTTACGTGCCTGTATAATTATATTTGTAATTATGATTTTAAATACCTTTGTGAAATTATCTTGCATTTGTCCCTCGCACAAAAAGGTTTCTCCTCATTTACTCGTTATTTTTATCGTTTAAGATTTTTCTTATAAAATTTATATGTTTTGTTTATAATTTTTTAATCTCCAATTAATATACCGAACCACTATCAATATATAGAGATTACTTGATTCCATCGAAATAATGATAATATTGAAATATGATATTTCATTGTTAGATCACAACACTAGGTCAAACGCTTACTTTTAATCGTCTTTTCTTTTCCGCAACCAGATAATCCTACTCTAAATTGTTGTTTTGGTAAATGCCATGCTCTCGTTTAACCTACTTGTCTACCACTTCAACGAGTGTTGGCTCATAATCACTAGGAGTTACAAAGCCATGAAGGTTCATCACAGTTGCAGCCACGTTGGCGAGTCCACCGTCCAGAACATCGCTCCGAAACCTAACACCGGCTGTCAATCCCCGACCTCCTACTGCAATAGGCACCTAATTCACAATTTCCAAAATATGCATCACCAAATTTAATTCAACATTACACCCACAGAACAAGAAGAAAGATGTTGGAACTTACAGGGTGACAAGTATGAGAGGCGAGTATTTGGAGCTCCCCATTTTTATCATATAGAGGTTCCTCGAACTTACTCCTCTTCACCATGTCCTCCGCGTTGCCATGGTCAGCGGTTACCACAAATATTCCACCAACTCGCTCTATGGCATCAAGGATCATCTGCAGCCCAACAGAGTAAGAAAAGCTCTATTAAAAGTTCCGAGTAACTATGAAAGATTGAACTAGAGTCATCACACCTTGACAGCTTCATCAGCAGCCTTGCATCCCACAATTGTAGCCTGGATATCTCCTGTATGTCCCGCCATGTCACCATTTGGTATGTTCACACGTACATGATCGAATTTGCGCATCAAAATCGCATCTCTAGCCTTCTCCGCGATCTCCAATGCCTTCATCTTTGGTTGAACGTTGAATGTAACGCCAATATCACTAGGAATTTCCACATATTCTTCCAATTCAGGGTTGAAATAGCCAGAGCGATTTCCATTCCACAAGAAAGTGACATTACCAAATTTGGCAGTCTCACTGTTGGTACAGGAACACTTCTTTGTTAAAGTAAGAAACATCAGAGTCATGGATTATAATGACTTGCTCTAAACATACCTGCAGGCGAAAATTCGGATACCGTTGTGCACCAAATATTCACCGGATGTTCTATCAATAAGGGAGGAGAAACAAGGTAGTGACTTGGAAGCTTCAACTCGCCATCGTACTGAAGCATACCCGCATATCAGATTTTAGGGCATCGTACACGATTGAATTTGTCAAAATCTTGGTATTCGAGTTCCTTAGCCAGCATAACAATTCGATCTGCACGGAAGTTGAAAGTAACAACAGCATCACCATCTACAATTGGACCGACAGCCTTGTTGTTCTCATCAACAAGAACAAAGGGAGGCAAGTACTGATCATTTGCATTTTTCCTCAGTTTCTTTACAGCTTCAACAGCATTTGTGAACTTGTGTGGGGCTTCACCCAGAACTTGACCATCCCATCATCTTTTCACAACATCCCAATCAATCTGCAAAAGATCATCTCACAAGAGCGAATAAACACCTGGAGTCAAGGGGCCAAAAAAGGTGAATAAAACACCGATTTCTCACCTCGTAAAGGTCCATTGTGACATACATGCGGCCCCCACCAGAATCAATCCGAGCATCAACACCTTTCTCACGTAAATTTGCAAGGTCATTCTCAAGAGTCTCCACAAAGCCTAAACTCGAACCATCTGCAACATCACGACCATCCGTGAGAATGTGAACTCGAATCCTTTTACCACCATGCTCACTAGCTCCCTTCAGTAGCAACTGCATACATTTTGGAAATGAATTATCATGAACATCCAAAAGGTAGGAGCCTTTCCTGAATCACCAAAATTACCTGCAACTGATCATGTCCGGAGTGAACACCGCCATCGCTAAGTAATCCGATCAGGTGCAGAGTTCCCTTTTCAAAAGATTCACTTGTATACTTAAATCCTTCTCCCTCGTAAATTTTACCAGAGGCAAGAGCAAGATCAACAAGCTTGGCCCTGCAGTTACAAATGAATACTATTTGCATTAATAGGGACAGTGTCGGTTCGCACGCACGTACACTCACGCAAAAAAGGTGAGTAAAATCGAGAAAGGAAGCATACCCTTGAGCGAAAATGCGTCCAGCACCAAGCGCATTGTGACCAACTTCACTGTTTCCCAATTCATCGTCCGTTGGAAGCCCTACATCGGTTCCATGAGCCCTGATTAATCTCCATTTCTCGGGGGCACCCTGCCAACATGATCAGTTCCATTCAAATTATGGCATACATGATTCTTTTATGAAACAAAAACACTGTAATAACGTCCAAATGGTAATCTACATTCCTCTGCAGCACGTACATACGATGTCAATTGTTAATAAAGATTCTAAGTAAATACTATTTTATAATCACTCTAGACTAATAAAAAAATTCAAAGATATATATAAGATTCTTACATAATGGCATTATGGCATACATGATTCTTTTATGAAACAAAAACAATGTATCCTAAGTTCCCAACCCATATATATATATATATATATATATATATATATATGAACGCTAATAATATTTATTTATCTTAGTAAAATATATAAAAAATAATTTAATTAAAATTATTAGTATACCAATAAAACTAAATTACTATTATAACCTTATGAATCTATAATTTTATTTTATACTTTAATTTTGCTTACTTTCTCAATTGAGTTAAATAACACCATATTGAATTAGACACCTCAAAAATATAAAATTCTATCATACTCAATTTAGAAGTAAAAATACGTACATTAGTAAAATTTATTAAAATTTAAAATAATCATATATTAATAATATAAAATAAATTAGTATCGTTATAATCTTGTTTAAAAACTATTATTAGAATATAAATAATAAAATAATTCTAAAATTATTAGTAATAAATATAAATATTATTAAAATATAAATAATAAATTAGTTTTAAATTTTTCATAAAAAAGTTGAGTTTTTAATAGGGATGGATTGACGAGAACGAACACCTTAAAAATTTGAAATTCATTATTTTCTATCGGTAATCTATTTTCATCCCCTTTCCATTCTCAATCTAAAATTTTAAAAGTTCATCCCATAATATAAAATTTAAGGTTAGCGTTAATATAGAAAAATTAATGATTAGAACGTTAATACTTTCTTTGCCCCAATAAAATGTCATTTATTGACTTTTCAGAAGTCAAATTTACCAAAAATTCTTCAATTTTGTTCATCAATGCAGAACTTTAGAGGGAAAACACCTTGTTAATACTTGGACCAAATCCTTGCTCTTCGATCCACTTGGGTAGCAATTCTTAATATTGAAACTTCACTTATAAGGTTTGGCTATGAGCTATCACAGAATGTTTAAGGAGTAACAAAACTCAAAGTCAAGTCATTAGTCGGGTAAAAATTCTCGAACAAATAATCTCCCACATTACTCGCAGGGTAACTTCCAAAATTGGGACGAATACTGACAATATTCCCTTTTTTTACATCGATTGAGTCATAACATATAAGATACTTTGGTATAATTATTACAAAATGATTATTTGATATCAGAGTTCTGGCTCAGAAGAGTACGAGCATAATCTAGGGGCATTTACAGACCAGACATCCTATGATAGTTGATCGACCGATCTACCAAAAAGGCTCAACTCGACTAAACCTAAGCTCTGATACCACTAAAATAACACCCTCATACTGATACGAGTGATTTGATCTAATCTGAGGTGTCACATTAGGGTCACCGGAGCGACCCAGATAAAAAATCTTGGAAATTTAAATTTTTTATTAATCCATTTAAACTATAAAATAATTCATAGATAAAACACAAGTTCAAAAAATTATTTATTTATTAAAAATAGAATTCAATAATATCCAATAATAAAACAAGTTTCAACCTCAAATATAAAACATAATACAAACTCGAGGCCCTCTAATTTACATGCACCGTATTGCTCAAGCAACGCTGGTGAAACTCCTTGACTGATGTCGATAAAAGCATGTGTTCAAACTCTTTAACTGAAATGGCAAGTAACAGAGTGAGCTATAGAAAACTCAGTAATACAGAACTACCAGATGAATACAATAGGTCATGTATATGGTAAAGTATAGCTTCCCTTAGCGGGACAAACATCATCAAATTCTAGTAGTGATTTTAGATTCCCTTATCTAAGTCTTCAGTTACAAACATGAATTTACGGTATAAAGGAATTATTTAGAAAGATAGATTTAGAAGATTGAATTAGAAGTGTAGTATGTTCCAACAAAACAGAGAAATATGTATAGATTATTTAAAAACATTAGTAGTTTAAAGCTTATTTTAAAACCAAAATAATACCCTCTAACTGAACATCGATATGCAGTTCCTCATAACTGCATCCATAAGGACTTACCCTAGGCCCATTGAGCGTAGTAGTCAACCTAAG